CACCTATCGGGCTGCGATTGGCTCATCTATTTAATCATTCCTACAACGTAATTTTCGGTTAGCGTGGAACGTATCTAAGCGTTATAGGGGGGTCTACTGTATCAGGTTGAATGTTCTTTCTGCTGAATACATTTTATATTATTTCCAGCATTACAAAATGTTGATACATGTAAAATTATTAAAAGAAAATTGGTTTTTATGATTTTTCACAACAAAATAAATATTTCAATAACAATTATCAGTGTTCAGAACTAAATTGTTTTAATAAAATTTTGTCTAAAGCTTTCCAAAATAATCTACAGAGAAATCTGTAACTTTATTTTCATTTTTATGAAGCATAAAGTTAGTTTTCCAGAAAGTTATTCTGTATTCTAAAATACAGAATAAAACCTGGTAATTCTGAATAAAATGCATAAGGCTATAAGTATTTTCTTTATTAAGTCATTTTTTCCATATATGTTTATATATTGTTTACATATAAATATGAAATGCATTCCTGAGGAATTATGTCATTAGTAATTGTATTTGATAAAAAAACTGTTAGCTAAAATTTTACTGTATTAATTCTTTGCTAAGAATTTCATGCTCTGAGTATGATTCATATGTTTATGCACATATATGAACTTTTGGTTTGGCCTGGAAGTCATGTTATTTCAATTAAAAAATTTTCTGATGAACAGAGTTAGATAGATGACCAACATGACACTATTGTTAACAGGAAAAGTATGATATACAGGGACAAGACACTACTAAAATTGAGAGCATTGTGACAATGTCATAATTAATAACTGCTTGTTGTAAATGATTACAGATGTATTTGTATCTTTACTCAACAATATTAAAACAAAATGATGTTAAGTGACAACTTCCTGTAGACTTTTTTTCTGACAACTGTTACAAACTGAGCTGTGCAGTTAAAATTGGTAAAAATGAACTAACTTCAACTTGTTTTTTTTTTTTATTATATACTTTATATTAAGCTCCTAATCAGAGAGTTAAAAGTTAACCTCCTATCTTGTATTATAGGTGCCTCCTGTAATGCATGATTATATTTTATGACGACTCCTCTACTTCATGATCTTTCTTTGCATATCATTAATTACTTTTGATTTTCTTTTTAGAAATTTTTATGTGAATACATTCCATGTAGGTTAATTCTAATTTTTATTACCAAAAGACACACAGCAAATGACTAGATAACTGAGGTTAAATCCAATGTTTTTGAATATTTTACTATAACCACAAATGAAAAACACATTATCAATATGTAATTGAAGATGATAGCAGTGACAATGAAAAGCTCTCTGAAAAAAAGATAAATACTTTCAGTGGTTTTGATATGAATGTATGATGATTCATTTTAAAAAATGCTTATAAAGTAGCCTAATGATTTACTTGGTATTATTAAAATGCCATTCTGGATTAATATAATCAAAGTATATTTTAAATGAGTATTTAAAGACAGGAGCTGGAGTTGGAATTAGATCCAAAATCCAAAATCAGTCAGGGGCTTGGTCTCCTGTATATTTCTGCAAATATCAGAATGTCAATTGTTTTAAAGAAAAAAAATGTAAAATTATCTTTGTTTTTTGTTAATACAGTACAGTCAACCCCCCTATAACGTACGTTCCTATAACGACAATTCCTATAACGTAGCGAAAAAATTGTAGAAACTTTCGTATAACGTACCTCCTATAACGTCGTTTCGCGAGAAGATTGATAGAGTCTGGACCAATAGTGGATGAGCAGCCGAACTACTT